CATAACAATGGACTTCATCGAAGGACTTCCAATGTCCAATGGGTTCAACGGGATCATGGTGGTTGTGGACCGTCTTACCAAGTATGCACATTTCATTCCTATTACTCATCCATATAGGGCTAAATCCATAGCTAAGTTATTCATTGAGTATGTGATGAAGTTGCATGGGATGCCCCGGTCCATTGTATCGGATAGGGATCGAATATTCATGAGTAGTTTTTGGAATGAGTTTTTCAAAATGCAGGGTACCGAGTTGGCTATGAGCTCAGCATATCATCCTCAAACGGACGGGCAAACTGAGGTGACCAATCGCATTCTCGAACAATATCTCCGATGCTATGTTCATGAATTTCCGAGAAGATGGGAAGGATTTCTACCATGGGCCGAATTTTGGTATAATACAACATACCATGCATCAACCAAATTCACCCCTTTCGAGTTGGTTTATGGACGGAAGGCACCCCTACTGGTGAGTTATCTGATGGGAAAATCACCGAATGATGAGGTGGATCGTGAGCTCATGGAACGAGATCTTATGATTCGGGAGCTCAAAGGAAATTTGTACGGGTCAATCAATCGAATGAAGGAGTACTATGATAAAGGAAGAAGAGAGGAACGATTCGAACCGGGTGATTGGGTTTACTTGAAGCTTAGACCTTATCGCCAGCACACAATTTCTCAAAAGACTCTATTCAAGATGGGAAGTCGTTTCTATGGCCCATAACAAATTGTGGAACGCGTGGGGGAAGTTGCCTATCGACTTGATCTACCGGTCGAAGCTCAAATTCATCCAGTGCTTCATGTTTCTCAACTAAAAAGAAGCTTGGGGAAAAATCAAGGAGCTCAACCGAGGTTGCCGACAGTGAACTCCGAAGGCACTATGATCATACGTCCAATACGAGCAGTGGATTATAGGAGGGTAAAAAGAGCTGGTCGCTTCCGTTGGGAAGTCTTGATCGAATGGGACCAACTTCCGGAAGAGGAATCGACTTGGGAAAGCTTACACGATATGCAAACTCAATTTCCGGATTTTGTCCTTGAGGACAAGGACAATCTTGAAGGAGACGGGAATGATGCGGATGAGGGCCGTCAGCTGAAGAACGCGTACAACCGGGCTCGTCGAGCTAAAATGAAGCTGCAGAAAAATTCTGAACTTTCAGGGGTTAGCGGCGCTAACCCCCTTAGCGCCGCTAAGGCTGCGGATGTGAAAGGGACAGAGGATTCACGCTAAGATGATTAGCGGCCGCTAATGACCCTTAGCGGCGCTAAGGGGGGGTTAGCGGCGCTAACCCCTGGGCGGGAGCAGTTTTTTATTTCAGTTTTCTTTTCATTTCAAGTGCATTTGGGTAGTTAGTAGGTTTATTTGTATGCGTTTTTTGGAGATTATCGGACCATCTTTTGTATCATTATCATATTTCTTAAGAAAAGCTTGTTTCCAAGCAAATCATAGTGTCTAAATCGGGTTCTTTAATTCGGTTTTGATACAAAATCTGATATTCGATACACGATTCGTAACAGTCCCCTTCAACACTCAGTTTCACAGATTCAAAATTGGGGCCGCCGTCAAAAGGTGCGATGTTGAGGGTAATTGTTATTTTAGTACCTGTACTCTGGGCTAATTGTGATTTTGGTACCTATCCTTTATTTATTGCAAAAATACAACCCAACTTTTACGTTTTTTGCGAATTTGGTACCTATTCTTTATTAATGGCTAAAATACAACCCAACTTTTATATTTTTTGCGAATTTAGTACCTAATAATTTTTTTTTACCTAATAATACAAATAAAATATCTTTATTTTGGTTTTTTTGATGTAAATCATAAAATTGTTATTTGTATTATAATGAATGATACAAATAAAATGAACTGCATTTTCAATATTATTAAAATTACATTTAGAGATTCTGTAAAAAATCATATATAATTATTAATAACCATATTTAAATTGAATGGGCATATTTAATTATCAATGAAATGCAACCATGATTTAAAAAATCATAGTATCTCCTATGAAAATTCAAAAGAAAAAATATTTCTCTTTTTTGTATTTACCTTAACAACAAAATTCCTGAAGAAATGAAGATACATACAATTTTTTTAATATTAGGTAAATGAACTGCATTTTCAAGATTATTAAAATTACATTTAGAGATTCTGTAAAAAATCATATATAATTATTAAAAAAATATTTTAAAAAAGTATTACTTTTCAAATAAATTATAAAAGAAAAAATTTATTTTATATCATTTTAACAAAATTTATTTTGATTTAATGTAATTTTATTTTATTTATATATATTTTTACTTGTTAATTTTTATTTCTTACACGTTATTTTTATTAAAAGTACATATATTTTAATTTTTTAATTTATTAAAAATTACTTTAAATCATTTTATTGCCTTTCACTATATTTTTATTTTATAATATTTTATTATAATTTATCTTATTTTTATTTTTAATTTTATGATTTATATAATATTTTATATTTGTATCATTCATTAAAATACAAATAATAATTTTATGATTTACATCAAAAAATCAAAATAAAGATATTTTATTTGTATTATTAGGTACAGAAAAATTATTAGGTACTAAATTCGCAAAAAACGTAAAGGTTGGGTTGTATTTTAGCCATTAATAAAGAATAGGTACCAAATTCGCAAAAAACGTAAAGGTTGGGTTGTATTTTCGCAATAAATAAAGAATAGGTACCAAAATCACAATTAGCTCATAGTACAGGTACTAAAATAACAATTACCCCGATGTTGAGGATCCAACCGAGGAACCAATTTGAGGCTATTGGGATGAATGAAGTTTCGGCTGCTGTGAGGAACTAATTTGAAGTTTTTTTTTTTTTCCCCTTTTTTTGCTTGTTTTTATTTCAAGTTCTCATCGCACGTTTAAATAATTTAACCGCTACCGACGGTAGCAATGAATTTGCAGTGAAAAGAGAACAAAATTGTATGGGATGAATTAATATGGGCTGGAAAAAGTACGGAGTAGAGTTTCGATTAAAAATTTTAGAATTTATTAAGAAAATAAAAAATTAAAAATGGCGGGCCTAGCCCGTCAAGCCCGCAGCCCGTGGCGGGGGCAGGTTGGGCCTGTATTTTGTAGGCCCACCAAGATGGCAGGGCGGGCGCCAAGGCTGTTGGAGATAACCTATACTCCGACCACAGCAAGGCAGTTGGAGCAAGCCACCCAACCATGCCGCTTACAACACCGAATGACCGAAACCACCCTCGAGATCCAAAACGGTAACCACTTACAGAGCGGCAAAACACTAACCAACCGAGATGGCCACGATGTGACTGGAGTCCGGGAGCACGGTCCGGTGACGGGCAACACCACGGCAGCAAGGAGCACCCCGCTGGGAGGAGACCGACACTAAACCGACGGCTAG